CACTCCTGTAGAGAGAGAAAGAGTGTCAGAAACAACAACAGTGTGTTAGGACTCCACAATGTCATGAATACATGCACTGTGACTTTTTCACCTCATAAAAAGTGGAAGACAAAGCAAAAAGATGACGCAATCAATAGCCCTTCCTTCCTTTCATAGTAACACATGGACATAAAATGCATTTCAGGTATGTATATTGAGAAAAACTTGATTACTGATAAACTGTCACTTCAGATGTGAAAAACAAGCAGCTATAATGATGCACCGCTTTCAAATAATCACAAGGACTTGCCAATCAATACATCCATTAGCCTCTCACACCCTCAAAAAGCCCCTCTCGAAAAAGACAAACAGTTTAAACGCAGGGGAGAGAGAGAGCGATAGATGGAGGTTAACGATTGGGAGGAAGCACTTAAACCCCTTTGTGAAACGAACGGATGGGTGTGGAGAGAAAGAGCGATTGCTGGTTGTGTGGACTGATAGGCTGTTTTCTGCATTAGCATTAACATCTTTCACTGACTAACAAACAACTTTATGTTTTTCAGTTTCTTAGTTCTTTATATTTATGTTTCTGGCTGATTAGATGTCCATTAGCAGTTAACTAGCCTTATATAGTCTGGTTTATGGTTCATATAACTTATTTTGGACAAATAGCATCCACTCAGAGAGCAAGACTTGGTCTGACTGACATGTAAAGTTACCAGCTAAAACTAAAAACTAAATAATGCTTAAAATACAAATAAAACTTTTAAAATGAGAAATTATTTTTAAATCAATGAATACGTTTGCTTAGCTATAGTTTCTGAGCTACAATGACTAGCAATTAAGTCTTATTCATAGAAGTTTCAGATTTTGTATGGTATGTGAATAAGCTTGTTAATCGCTAGTTTCTGCCTCAGAAACTAGCAAGTTTATTCACTGTAGCTTCAGAGAGCACACATTGTGTGAATTATAACACACAAAATCTGAAGCTATAACGAATAAACATGTTAATCGCTAGTTTCTAGGGAAAAATATAATTTGAAGAATACTGAGACAAAAGCTAACAATTAGTAGTCTTATTTTGTAGCCTCAGATTTTGTGAGGTATGACAATAAACTATAATTGCTCGTTTTTGCCTCAAACAACTGATTAGCAAACGTATTAGTCATTGTAGATTCAGACAGCAAATATTGTGTGAATTACACATTAACACACAAAATCTGAAGCTACAATGAATAGACTCGCTAATCGCTAGTTTCTGAGGCAGAAGCTACAAAGGATCTGAGCGGCAATCTGAAGCTATAATGAATTGTAATGAGTTTGAGACAGAAAT